GTCGTCACGTGCGAGCAGCGCCACTCGCGGCGTGACGATATGCGGGGTGTCGAACTTCAGAAATTGCTCGCGCGAGAGCCAATCAAGTGGCGCCACCCGCATGTCAGGTACGTGCGGGGAACTTTCAAGCAGCGGGACTGGAAGGTTCTAGTCCTGGTCGTCGTCGTCGGTGAAGTCGTGGCGCGGACTGAACGGGTTGTTGTTGGAGAACGCGCCAATGGGATGCGGTGCTGGCTCAGGTGAAGGTGAGCGCACGCGGCGACGACGCGACTCGCCCGTCATGGCCATGTTGCTCATGACGTTGCGTACGGGAGCAGTCGGTGATGGCTGCTGCTGCTGATGCTGAACCGCTGGGTTCAGGTTGCGCGCGGGTGGGGGTTGATAGCCCTGGGCTGGACGCACGTCGCCTCGTGCGTCTTGTCGGCCGGACCAGTTGCTCGGATTGGTCTGGCGAGGGCGAGATCGGTACTTGCATCGATCCGCCGAGTGCCCGAAATTCCTGCAGATCTTGCAGTAAAGGCGCCGCGGCCGTCGCTCTTCTGTGTTGTCGGCGTAGAAGGCGAGGCGTTCCTTGTCTCGTCGCGGTGCTGGTCGCTGCTGGTCCATATCCCTTTGTTCGACGAGAAGGGCGGCGCAGAGGGTGGCCTCCGAGATGACCCCCTGCTGTCGGAGAAGCGCCTTGCAGGGCCGCCACTCTGGGCCGAGCCTTTGGAGCACGATGTTCACGAAGATCTCCTCAGATATCGTGCTCCCAAGTTTCGCGATTTGATCGCGTAAGCTCCGACAGCGATTCAGGTAACTATTGGCCTTCTCTCCTGGTGCCATCTTTGTCTCCAGTAGCTGCTGGAGTAGGCGGCTCGACGACACTGAATCATTTGGTTGATACACACCGTTCAGGTGGCGCCAGCGTTCAGGGCTGGAGCAGGTGAGGTTTTGTATGAGCGAATGCTCAATTGCTCCGTCGGCGACATATTCCGCAGAAGAACCCCGTACGCCATCGGAGACTCGTTGTAATACTTGGTTCGTGCGTCGTCAGTGTCCTCCGTAGGTCCCGAGTAGCTCCCGTCGAAGTAGTGAAAAATCTGCGCGTTTTGCAGCAGCAGCTCCAGCTCGAAGCTCCAAGTATAGAAGTCTCTGCCGTCAAAGCACACACTTGTCTTTATTTTCGATAAACTCTGAAACCTTGATTGCGCAGAGACAATTGCTTCATCGCTGGGACAGGGAGTCTTGGGAGTTGAGCCATTTGTGTCAAGGGAGAAGCCTTGCGGGGCGGAGTTCTGGCCGTTTGAGGCCGGTTGAGTGGGTTGGGATGAAGTTCCCGCGTGACCATTCCGCAATGTTTGGAGCCCTTCCTCCAGGCTCATGAGTCGCTGAAGCAGTTGTGCGAGGACGGCGGAAGGGATTGTCGTCGTTTCCTCGCTTGTCGTAGCCGGGTTGGGCTGTGCTTCAGCCGTCAGATTTGTCTGACCTCCGGATCCTCCGGCCATTCGTACACGCGATCGTGTGCCGGACGCCACTTTCCGAATGTCGCTGATTTCGGAGATGGCAGTACGAAGGATTCCTGAGTCGCTCTCATACCATGCTGCGATCAACAAGTGATCGTAACCAGGATCACCTCAGGAAGGTTCGCACACTTCTAGTCTAGTGGTGGTGGGCCCTTGACCTCAATAGCAGAGTGAATGTAAAATGCTTGAGATGAATTAAAACATGCAAATACATGGACATAAATAAGAGTACAGGGGGAATATGAATCGACCTAGCTAGCCATATACTCTAAGGGGTACATTCCCTTATTCAAATTCATTCCCAACCGTGCGGCGCGTACAGTTACGAAAACTGTTCCCGCCCAACTCCTCCTGACTGCAGCTGCCTGATGCCGTCTGCTCCGACGGTCCGGATCCACGCTAACCGTCTGACGCTTCGAGTCAATTCCGACTCCTCGCATTCGTTCTTGTTACTGCGTGTTTCCTTTAGCTGCGGTGAGGAGTGCACTTGTGATGTTCAGGCATTACTATTTGTAACACTCTGAATGATACTGGAAACCACATATGGTATTTTTCACAAGGATTCAAGCTCAAAGTGGCAAGGTATGAATATTATATATTGTAATATGTAGCTTATATCAAACAAGTTATTACCACAGTATGTAATGATACTAAACGACAGCTTGGCTGGGGTAACAGTCGATATGCTGGGGATTAGTTATAATGCTGCCTAACTTGTGAATGAATACTGGCCTACGGGGTAACTTCTGCTCATCGTCCAACAAATGAGTGGTTCCTCTCTCATGGGCATGGGGACGGACCTGGTCCGTTGGTTCGTCAGGTCACGAGCTTCTTGCGACAGCTGGCGACATTTTATTATTACCGTTCCTGGTTTTCCGCTGCTTTTCCGCAACAGTTACGCATTCGTGCTAATACGAATGATGATGGTTCTCTCGCACGGTGCGAAAGATCCAAAGATTAATGATGTGGCAGCATTCTTCGACGTTTTATACCCGTGCAGTAATACAACATCTCGGAACATTTATATACATATCTTTGAGGAACTAGAGTATCGTTTCAAAGGGTTTTATGGTCGACAACATTGCGAGATGATCGACATTTGTGCTTTACACGACAGTGTGGGTAGTACATTCTTTGAAACGAGGCGGAAGTCGTGGTCGTGGTTTGCGCAAGGGGACGAAAAGATGTCCGAGTGCTGTTCTGTGTAGACTGTACGGAACAACTTTTAAGACTGAGACACGGTACAAATAATGGTGTACGGGCACCATTGCAATGTAGCAAATACATTACACCTGTTCTCCGATATTTCCACACCCTGAACTTTGATTCTTCCCAGACACCCTACATGGTTGAAGGTTTGATGAGACGGACGCCCTGACATTGAGGATCTATCAGAAAATAACCACCAGGTCAAGGCCTCTCGAAACTCGAACTTTGTAGTTCGAGTGAGCGGGGAAAATTCCAGTGCCAGATTGTTCCTGCGTTAAGCTCGCATTGAGATTGTGTTACATTAACCCTGAAAATTCTTCGAGCGTTGCTAACTACCTTCGAAATCGGTTTTTTCGAGGGTAGGTACCCCAGGTCGTAAAGATAAAGGGTGTGGAAATATCGGAGAAGAGGATGTTCTCGTTTATAGTCCGACGGATCAACATCGCCGCGCGCGGACTATGTGCGAAAACCTTCAAACCCCAGGCATAACGCGATACTTATAGTCCCGTTCAAGAAAATTGCATGAAGAGTGGTTGTTTTCGCTACTATTTTCTGGATTTCGGCATTTACGTAGATTTGGACCGCGCTTGCTTCAACTTCTAGTCGCACGGTTTTCCACGCTGATCAATGTCGCATGACTAACGGGCAAAACTAAACAAAATCAACAATGGTTTGGGGGTCGAATAGTAACCCAAATATTTTTTAACCCTGTAATCGAAATAAATATGATGTCATCGTCGATCGCTCTTGAGACAGCGCGACAGGATTGAGAAGAATTTGCCGTCACGAGTAACGATCACTTACCATCTAAAAGTTAAAATGTCGACTCGATGATCCCTTTTCATCGTTTTCCTTGAATGCTGGGCTGGTTTGATCTGGAGCCTCTGATTGGTTGCGGAGCTGATTCGTGCAATGATTCGGTCAAGCTGCCAAATTTCCCGTCAAAAAAGAGACTATAGAGTACGGGCCAACCCTAGGAGATATCGGAAAATTCTACTCAGGGGGCAAAAGGGACTCTCTCAGCGAGAGACTCTAACCCAGAACATCTGTAATTTCCCACCAGAGCTGGTTGAAAATTTTGGCTGGTCATTTCTCCAGGAGATTCGAGAAGCGTCAATATAATCATGCTTGAACGAAGTAAAATCGCGGGTTGCGTAAAAGGCGGTGTGAGGTGGCATGGTGGTTGCTTTCTGGGCCAAACCCAACCCAACCTTCCTCAAGCGCCCTCGCCTCAAGCAGCTGGGCTTGGTGGATGGTTGTTGCTTCTCGCCTCGCCATGTTGGCTCGTGCTGACTGGCCGAGACCAGGAGAAAAGGGAACCGCCCCTGGCACAAGAAGACAGCACAAAGAAGACTGTTGTCCGCGCATAATTGCTGCGACCAACCAATGGTTCTCGCTGGGGGTGTCTGTCAGGGACAGGTGGTGGTGGGCTGCGTTGCCCAACACACGAAGAAGCACATACGTGGTGGTTGGGTGCCATGCCATCTGCTCTAAAACACAAGGAAGGAGTGCTCTTAGATGCAGAAGGACAATCTTTGAACGACAAAACGGCTGCTAGTTTCTTCGACAGAAGAACAAAGTGATCTAACCTGTGTCATAAGTTTTGTTGTTCAACTCGACAACTCCCGTGTTCACGACTGCATTTTGAGGTGTCGCTTTTTTATTCAGCCATCTGCAGACATGGGGAGCACGAACGGTTTGAAGAAGGGATACGTGGACACAGAGGCCGGACAAATTCACTACCGCAGGTAATTGACGCTCAATAACTCTTCTTATCACATGTTCGGCGAGCCATCTTCCAGTGGACGCACGAAGGGCTCCTAAAAAAAAAAAAAAAAAAAAAAAAGAATGAATTATTCTCCGTGTCCCATGAGATATTTCCGCTGCACCAGAGTGTTGCTCCTTCACCTCAAACGAATAATTCTGGTCTGACGTTCCTTGGAACGCCGCAGGGCCTCAGATTTCAGAATCTTAAGTTTGATTTGTCTGAACCTTTTTTTGTGTGTACGAGGTCTGATTAATCCTACTTCTGTCGGTTAAAATCACAATTAACCGAAATTCAGAGTGAATTTCCTAACCAACTCTGATTTTCCAGACAACAGCCAATCTGAGGACAGCTTTTGAGATGTTACCAGTATTTGTCATCAAGTAGATTAGATCTGGGATCTAGATCCAGGATTGGGAAGTGGATCCAGACCAGTACTTTCCAGACCACAACTTCGTCGGCACTGCTGTGTGGCGCAGCATTGCTAACACCATTGTTTATTTCCTCGTGCACTTTTAATGATGAGCAGATGCGGCCATGGCCCGCCGTCCATCCTGCTGCTGCACTCTGCCGCCCAGTCGTCCGCCATGTTCACATCCGCGCTAAAGAGAATGGGGGCGGCCGGCCTGCACGCCATAGCTCTGGATCTGCCCAACAGCGGCGAGTCGTGCCGTGCTGCGTCAGCATGTGCTGATCCCACGCAAGCAACTCAGCTTCCCAGCGGCGAGCTGACCATGGTTGACGTGGCGAACCTTGTGCTGCAAGCTGCTCATGCGCTTCGATTCTCGCCGCCATTTGACATTGTGAGTGTTGATGACATGACAACGTGGATCAAATGGATGGTCAATCTGATGATTGTGGAAGATGGGGGGGAAAGAAACACATCAAAAGAAGCATGTTGAGTGACTCACCATGTCAAATGCTAATGTGGGTGGTTGGGGATGGAAAGAAGCCTAATAAGTGAGAAGGACTCACCATATGGACGTTCATATTGTGATGTCCTGCATCTATTCCCCGGAGCACCTGAATCACACAATTACCCAGGTCCCTGGATATCCTTCAGAGAACTGGTGAGGAGGCCATGGGACCTCTTGTGTCCAACTTACGGAATCCCGTTCCTTATTTTGTCGCTGAAACACCACGGAGGAACAATCCAGAATCGCATGGACTGAATACAACTGGATATGGATGGTTGGATGCATGCATGCATGGGTGGTAGAGTGGAAGGTTGACTGGATACATGCATGACCGGATCTGACATGTATAATGTGACTGGATAAATGCATGACCGGATCAGACATGCATAGTGTGACTGGATACATGCATGACCGGATCAGACATGCATACTGTGACTGGATACATGCATGACCGGATCAGACATGCATAGTGTGACTGGATACATGCATGACCGGATCAGACATGCATAGTGTGACTGGATACATGCATGACCGGATCTGACATGCTTACTGTGACTGGATGAGACCACACCGACAACCACGCTTGCAAGAGTTTTTAGATGTCTCAAAAAGCATACGTGGAGGAGAGGTGAGTAGATAGATCTGGGACCACCGCGGTGAACCACGCATGCAAGACATGCCTAGGCCCCACCCTCCACTCATTCCTCCCTTCAACTCCTCTCTCTCCTCACCCTCCTCACCCTCCCCACCCTTCTCACCTGTCCGTCTTCCTCACCCTCCCCACAATCCGCTCCTCCATAGGTGGGGCACGAGGCGGGCGCCACAGTGGCCATCCACATAGCAGCGGAGCTGCCACACATCGTGCGGCGCCTGGTGCTGTGGGGCGTGCCCATGCTCGGCTTCATGGAGCGCGGCGACGCCCTCCGCGAGGAAACCCCCGACGGCCACTACGACTCCGACCTCCCCGACGCTGTCGCCACATTCCTCCACCGCCGCTTCCCCGACGGCGGCGTGCCGTGGCAGCTGAAGGTGCGCACTGCTGATCGACATGCTGCAGACGTACGAGCGGCGGCCATGGCTGTCAAGAGCCATGGCTGTAGTGGATCATGCGGAGCTGCTGAAGCGCGTGCACACGCCCGTGCTCTGCATGGCGGGGGAGAGCGAGCCCTTGCACAAGGCGACGAGGAAAGCCGCCCTGTTGTGCAAGAACGGCGAGTATGTGGATATGGGGGCGGCGGGGCGGGATGTGGTGGATGAGCTACCAGACGACTACACCAGCGTCGTGCTGCAGTTTCTCTTCGGGGAACCTGGTCCGGCCGGGCCTACTGAACGAGCCAGTTGTTCCGTGCCAGCTGCTGACGTGGCAGGGGCGGGCGTGGTTCGGCATATGTCTGACTCAGCAATGAAGGATGCTGGTGGGAGGCCTCTGCAGAAGCACGTGTCGCACAATGAAGCACAGATGGGGAGGGGACCGGCCGGATCGCAGCACCCACATGCCCATGCCCATGCGCATCCACAAGAGCATGCACACACGCATGCTCACACGCATGCACACGCTCATGCACAGAGTGAGACAGATCAGCGGGAGGGAGGAGGGGAGATGAGGGAGGCGGGGCAGCAGGGGCGCAGCTACGGCACGAGCAGCAGCAGCAGCATGGCGTCATCGCCTGTGATGGGCAGCATGGCCTCGTCCCCCGTGACCGCCGTCTCCCCCAGCAGCCGCTCGTCCAACGACAGTGAGGAGCGGCGTGCGTCAGGGGAGAAGCGCACCAAAGAGCGCATCAAGTCGTTCTTCCGCGGCAAGAGCACTGCTTGAGGGGAGCAGCGCTCAAGGGGAGAGCAGCGCTTGAGGGGAGAGCAGCAGTTTAGGGGAGAGCAGCGATTGAGGGGAGAGCAGCGGTTTAGGGGAGAGCAGCGAATAAGGGGATCGGAGCAGCACGCATGGGGAAAGGCATGGGCACGCCAAGGACAACATCACTTGGTTTTTCCGCGGAAAGAGCACCGCGTGTACCGTTGGAGGGGAGTGGTGTACCTGCGGATAAGCAGCGGTTGAACGATGTGCACGAGTGGAATTCCGTGACGCACGCAGCAGCCCGCATATACGGAGGACCACGCACCTTGTTAGGCTGAGGACAAGGCGACGGTGAAGAGGAGACTAGGAGTCAGTCATATAGGACTCGCTGGCCACGCAAGGGTTGGTGCTGTAGCTGTATTATATCTGGGCATGGCCCGGGCTATGTAGAGTGGTTTTGCAGTGTGTAGGTGTCTTTTTTTATGCAATGGCTTCCATCGTGTAGGCATCCCGTTCCTTGTAGTGTCTGTCTGAGTGCCAAGCTTTCGGGCCATCGCGCCCCACAAACAGCAGTCTTCCGTTCAACAGTGTCTATGCGCGCACCAGGATGTGTCGCATCCAGTACAGATCCAATGGGCTGGCCAGGATGCATGGTAGACAATTCGTGCCCCATGCAATGTGGAACTGTCTGTGTTGGTGTGCACTTGAACTGCACTGCACTCCCAGGCTAGTGTGCTAGCAGCACAGCATGAGCATGAGCATCATCTGCACCGCTACAAGAGCGCACCATCACATCACATTGAGCATACGGTAGCATCCAACAAGCACAGCAAGGTTCACACGAGCACAGCAAGGTTCACACGAGCACACTATCCATCCACCAGCCGTGACCATTGAAAATCAGAATGCCGATGCCATGCTTTCCTAGCCACACCTCAACATCTCCAAACCCTTCACCGCCATGACATGCCGTGCCATGTATGCCATGCCATGCCATGCCATGCCATGCCATGCCATGCCATGCCATGCCATGCCATGCCATGCCATGCCATGCCATGCCATGCCTTGTACGGCCGTGCTGCAGTGAGTCAGGACGCCAGGACTATCGCTCGTCTGTGCATTCAGTTCCATCAATGCTCCCATGCTGCAATGCATGGCACCGCTCTTTTGCCACATGTGAAAATACAGAACCATTTTTTACAACATCGTCTTACATCGTCACACATCCTGTTGCTAAGCCTGCTTGCTGGGTGCAGCAGCGATATGGCGATCCATCACGGTGGACGCTGCAGAGCGGTACCATCCTGATGCCGTTGCCTTGGGGTGCGCCTGCACAGCACATCACAACCACCATGATTGATATCTTCCTTTCCATCAGGGCACGCAAGAAACAAGGCGCAGAGAGTAGAACGGGTGCAAATTCAACAGTAATGCAAGTGAAATTCGTCACCCCTCCCCCTCCTACCTGTTGCAGCAGCAGCCAATCCACAACAGCCTCTTCGTTGCCGCTCCCTTGCCCTTGCTGCCTCTTTGCCTCCCCACCACTGCCCTCATCAAAGCACCTCATGCTTCTCTTCACCCTCTTGCCTCCCCCCCCACCCCCCTTATCATCCACGCACACCCCCTCCCACCGCCACAGCACCTCCATTCTCGACCCATCGCAACCCCTCTCCACCCCTCTGCCCTCATCACCCCCCTCAAACCCTTCGTCCCCTTCGCCCCCACCCTTGCTGCTCTCCCCAGCTCCTCCCTCCGCCAGCCCTCCCCCTGCCCGTCCCCCCCCAGCACACCCCCACCGGTCCCGCTTTGTGTGCTGCAGGCGGTGGCGGGCGCGGTTGAGCAGCCCAGTGCGCCTGGGTGGTGGGGTGGGACGGAGAGAAGAGGCAGCCTTAGAGCAAGATGGGAGCAAGATGGGAGCAAGATGTGAGTAAGATGGGAGCAAGATGGGAGCAAGATGTGAGTAAGATGGGAGCAAGATGTGGAGCAAGATGTGAATAAGATGGGAGCAAGAAGTGGAGCAAGATGTGAGTAAGATGGGAGCAAGATGTGGAGCAAGATGTGAGTAAGATGGGAGCAAGATGTGGAGCAAGATGTGAATAAGATGGGAGCAAGATGTGGAGCAAGATGTGAGTAAGATGGGAGCAAGATGTGGAGCAAGATGTGAGTAAGATGGGAGCAAGATGTGGAGCAAGATGTGAATAAGATGGGAGCAAGATGTGGAGCAAGATGTGAGTAAGATGGGAGCAAGATGTGGAGCAAGATGTGAGTAAGATGGGAGCAAGATGTGGAGCAAGATGTGAGTAAGATGGGAGCAAGATGTGGAGCAAGATGTGAGTAAGATGGGAGCAAGATGTGGAGCAAGATGTGAATAAGATGGGAGCAAGATGTGGAGCAAGATGTGAGTAAGATGGGAGCAAGATGTGGAGCAAGATGTGAGTAAGATGGGAGCAAGATGTGGAGGAAGATGTGAATAAGATGGGAGCAAGATGTGGAGCAAGATGTGAGTAAGATGGGAGCAAGATGTGGAGCAAGATGTGAATAAGATGGGAGCAAGATGTGGAGCAAGATGTGAGTAAGATGGGAGCAAGATGTGGAGCAAGATGTGAGTAAGATGGGAGCAAGATGTGGAGCAAGATGTGAATAAGATGGGAGCAAGATGTGGAGCAAGATGTGAGTAAGATGGGAGCAAGATGTGGAGCAAGATGGGAGCAAGATGTGGAGCAAGATGTGAGTAAGATGGGAGCAAGATGTGGAGCAAGATGTGAATAAGATGGGAGCAAGATGTGGAGCAAGATGTGAGTAAGATGGGAGCAAGATGTGAGTAAGATGGGAGCAAGATGTGAGTAAGATGGGAGCAAGATGTGAGTAAGATGGGAGCAAGATGTGAGTAAGATGGGAGCAAGATGTGAGTAAGATGGGAGCAAGATGTGAGTAAGATGGGAGCAAGATGTGAGTAAGATGGGAGCAAGATGTGAGTAAGATGGGAGCAAGATGTGAGTAAGATGGGAGCAAGATGTGAGTAAGATGGGAGCAAGATGTGAGTAAGATGGGAGCAAGATGTGAGTAAGATGGGAGCAAGATGTGAGTAAGATGGGAGCAAGATGTGAGTAAGATGGGAGCAAGATGTGAGTAAGATGGGAGCAAGATGTGAGTAAGATGGGAGCAAGATGTGAGTAAGATGGGAGCAAGATGTGAGTAAGATGGGAGCAAGATGTGAGTAAGATGGGAGCAAGATGTGAGTAAGATGGGAGCAAGATGTGAGTAAGATGGGAGCAAGATGTGAGTAAGATGGGAGCAAGATGTGAGTAAGATGGGAGCAAGATGTGAGTAAGATGGGAGCAAGATGTGAGTAAGATGGGAGCAGATGTGAGTAAGATGGGAGCAAGATGTGAGTAAGATGGGAGCAAGATGTGAGTAAGATGGGAGCAAGATGTGAGTAAGATGGGAGCAAGATGTGAGTAAGATGGGAGCAAGATGTGAGTAAGATGGGAGCAAGATGTGAGTAAGATGGGAGCAAGATGTGAGTAAGATGGGAGCAAGATGTGAGTAAGATGGGAGCAAGATGTGAGTAAGATGGGAGCAAGATGTGAGTAAGATGGGAGCAAGATGTGAGTAAGATGGGAGCAAGATGTGAGTAAGATGGGAGCAAGATGTGAGTAAGATGGGAGCAAGATGTGAGTAAGATGGGAGCAAGATGTGAGTAAGATGGGAGCAAGATGTGAGTAAGATGGGAGCAAGATGTGAGTAAGATGGGAGCAAGATGTGAGTAAGATGGGAGCAAGATGTGAGTAAGATGGGAGCAAGATGTGAGTAAGATGGGAGCAAGATGTGAGTAAGATGGGAGCAAGATGTGAGTAAGATGGGAGCAAGATGTGAGTAAGATGGGAGCAAGATGTGAGTAAGATGGGAGCAAGATGTGAGTAAGATGGGAGCAAGATGTGAGTAAGATGGGAGCAAGATGTGAGTAAGATGGGAGCAAGATGTGAGTAAGATGGGAGCAAGATGTGAGTAAGATGGGAGCAAGATGTGAGTAAGATGGGAGCAAGATGTGAGTAAGATGGGAGCAAGATGTGAGTAAGATGGGAGCAAGATGTGAGTAAGATGGGAGCAAGATGTGAGTAAGATGGGAGCAAGATGTGAGTAAGATGGGAGCAAGATGTGAGTAAGATGGGAGCAAGATGTGAGTAAGATGGGAGCAAGATGTGAGTAAGATGGGAGCAAGATGTGAGTAAGATGGGAGCAAGATGTGAGTAAGATGGGAGCAAGATGTGAGTAAGATGGGAGCAAGATGTGAGTAAGATGGGAGCAAGATGTGAGTAAGATGGGAGCAAGATGTGAGTAAGATGGGAGCAAGATGTGAGTAAGATGGGAGCAAGATGTGAGTAAGATGGGAGCAAGATGTGAGTAAGATGGGAGCAAGATGTGAGTAAGATGGGAGCAAGATGTGAGTAAGATGGGAGCAAGATGTGAGTAAGATGGGAGCAAGATGTGAGTAAGATGGGAGCAAGATGTGAGTAAGATGGGAGCAAGATGTGAGTAAGATGGGAGCAAGATGTGAGTAAGATGGGAGCAAGATGTGAGTAAGATGGGAGCAAGATGTGAGTAAGATGGGAGCAAGATGTGAGTAAGATGGGAGCAAGATGTGAGTAAGATGGGAGCAAGATGTGAGTAAGATGGGAGCAAGATGTGAGTAAGATGGGAGCAAGATGTGAGTAAGATGGGAGCAAGATGTGAGTAAGATGGGAGCAAGATGTGAGTAAGATGGGAGCAAGATGTGAGTAAGATGGGAGCAAGATGTGAGTAAGATGGGAGCAAGATGTGAGTAAGATGGGAGCAAGATGTGAGTAAGATGGGAGCAAGATGTGAGTAAGATGGGAGCAAGATGTGAGTAAGATGGGAGCAAGATGTGAGTAAGATGGGAGCAAGATGTGAGTAAGATGGGAGCAAGATGTGAGTAAGATGGGAGCAAGATGTGAGTAAGATGGGAGCAAGATGTGAGTAAGATGGGAGCAAGATGTGAGTAA